TTATGTGCCATCGAGTCAGCCCCGACTCACAGCAACCCCTCCTTGGGTTGCCAAGGCAGTATCACTATGGAAGTAGATTGCTCAACCTTCCTTCCGAGGAGTGGCTGGTGGGTTTGAACCACCAGCCTTCTGGTTAGCAGTCAAGTGCCTTAGGCACTATGCTACCAGAGCTCCTATGTTTATCTTAGAATATACTATTTTTGCCATTGTATTTGAAGCACAACTTTGTTGTGTAAATAATTTTTGGTTGGCATTTTTTCCCCAAGGTTTTATCTATGTACACGTGGTACTCCATGGCAGTGCACACAGCTGAATACAAAGGGTCAGAGATGGGTGCTACTGAATGCAAAGATGTTGGGGGATGGGGCACCCACTCAGCTAGATCACAAAAAAAAGATACAAACAGAGTCACCCATGGTGGACAAGTTTCAGCAGGGCTTCCAAACTAAGACAGACTAGGAAGGAGGAGCTGGAGATCTACTTCTGAAAATAACCAATGAAAACCTTACAGATTGCAACAAAATATTGTCCTATATATTGCTGGGGCTGGGCAATATGTCATTCTGTTGTGTACAGGGTCACCATTAGTTGGAGCCAACTCAATGGCAACTAACAAAAATAACATAAGCAGATATAGAAATAAAAGTTTGTTTTGTGAGGTTTCTTTCTTTTTATTCTATATAAATTCCATATACCTACTACTCATCAACTATTCCATTACCTGAATTTGCATTTATAACAATAATAAAAATCTACTATTTGACTATTTTGTGCATAAGTGATGTACATCTGACAGTAACAAACAATAAGGTGCAAGGCAAGAGTAATGTTGGCTGTGATGGTTAAGGTTATGTGTCAGCTTGGCTGAGCCATGATTTTCAGTGGTTTGGCAGTTATGTAATGATATAATCTGGCAGTTATGTGATGATATATTTTGTGATCTGATATGGTCCTCCTCCATTTTCATACAATGCTGATTTTCATATGATGGTCTGGTCTTTGAAAACTAACCATGTGGATAAGTGAGGATTGGGTGTATAAGCATTGTCTTACAATATTAATATTCTTTTTAACTTAATGATATGTCTTATCTCTACGAATCTTAGCTGTTTCTATGGAGAACCACCTCATTGTTCTTTTTATTGTTTCCAAGTGTTCTATTACTTCCCTATGAGTGAATATTTAGATTGTCTCCAGGTTTTTTTCAATATTAATACTGTTACAAATACACCTCAACATAAAAGAGACCAAAAATCCTCACAACTGGATCAATAAGCAGCATCATGATAATCAGAGGAAATACTGAAGTTGTGAAGGATTTAATTTTACATGGATCTATAATCAATGCCCATGGAAGCAGCAGTCAAGAAATCAAATGACATATTGCATTGGACAAATCTGCTGCAAAAGATATCTTTTAAGGGTTAAAAAGCAAAGATGTTACTTTGAGAAGTGT